AAATCACTTCACGCGGCAGCTAGAATTAAAGCCAAAGAAATAGGATACAGATTCGTATGGGTTCGCAACGGCAGGATTTTTATGAGGAAAACCGAATCATCAGAATGTATTTCCATCAACAATATAGATATACTTAAGTCTCTGAAGTGATTTAAATATTTGTTTTTTTTTTTCGTTTCTCTAGAAGCGCGCATGTATCTTTTAAATTTTTTAATGTAAAATTCAATCCCATACGTGTTTACTATCAGAATGTTCGCGGTTTGAAATCTAAGACCATTGATTTTTTTAAAAAGATATCTTCTGAGACCTATGACGTTGTGGTCCTTGCGGAGACTTGGCTTAATAGCGGTGTGCATGACTCAGAACTTTTTGATAACCGCTACACAGTATTTAGAAGAGACCGTGAATCGTCGCGGTTTCATAATAGGGCAGACGGTGGAGGCGTTTTAATTGCGGTATCAAAACACCTTAACGCATTGAGATTAACCTTATTTGAAAGTTCAATTGAGGACTTATGGATTAGTGTTGACATCAAAACTAGTAAAAATAAACTATATATATGTGCTGTTTACCTTCCTTCTCCTCTTCAATTACAAACACTAAAAGAGCATATGTCAGCAGCACAACATACTTTAAACGGTGAAAATAATATCTTAATGGTTGGCGACTTTAACTTGACAGGCATATCGTGGGTAAAACATGACAGTAAGAATCACACAATTCCCGTTGGTATTAGCAGTGAGATGCATTCAGCGTTTCTGGATTTTGTTACGTGTAATGAACTTCACCAATTCAATTCTGTTCAAAATTATAAGTCTCGAACTTTGGATTTGGTGCTTACCAACACTGGGTTTGTCGGGACTGTTTGCGCAGTGGATAACGACAACGCTTTATCTAGGATTGACGCCCATCATCCTCCTTTATCTTTCTGCCTTAACGTTGCTAGTGAACCTAGGCTGAGAGTAAATACTCTTGCTAGACCGAACTTTTTTAGGGCTGACTACAATAGAGTTATTTCTGAATTGGGATCCGTGGATTGGGATGAAATATTTAGTAAATGTTTATCCGTAAATGACATGGTACAATCTTTTTACAATCATCTACGAGTTGTGATTTCTGAATGCATCCCTTTAAAGAAGAGTAACAATAATAAATATCCCGTTTGGTTTTCTCGCGATTTGATCCGATTACTTAAGGAAAAACATAAATACCATTCCAGAGTGCGGAAATTCAACAATCCCATGGACGTTTTGTCATTTACACTGCTCAGGAGAAGGTGCACTCGGCTGAGCTGCACATGTTACAATTCTTACATAAATAAAATAGAAGATGCTATAAGTAGTAACCCTAGAGTTTTCTGGTCTTTTATCAAAAATAAAAGGGGTGGTCAGAGTACTTATCCACAAGAAATGGAATTCGATGGGAAAATGGCTTCAAGTGGTCCAGCTATTTGCGAATTATTTGCCGAAAACTTTGGTAAGGTATACAACACCCATGGACAATACTCGCCGTTGTTATTGCCTCCAGGCTCCTCATCCCCTTCTACTCTCTGTAGGTTGTCGTTTTCAAGCCAAGAAGTGCATAATGTTTTGATATCCTTGGATGCTGGGAAGGGGGCTGGTAGTGATGGGATTCCGCCTATTTTTATTAAGTCATGTGCTGAAGTTCTATCTTCTCCTTTGCAACAAATTTTTAATAGATCGCTTGATGACGGAGTTTTTCCTGACCTATGGAAAGAGGCCTTAATAATCCCATTATATAAATCAGGAGCCCGTCATATTGTTTCAAATTATCGACCGGTCTCCGTTCTTGCGATATTTGGTAAGGTTCTGGAGAAATTAGTCACTAGGCATCTAGTCTGGCACCTGAAGCATTTTATTACTGCGCATCAGCATGGTTTCGTTAAATCTAGATCAACTTCTACAAACTTAGCGTTGTTCATATCAAGTGTATCTAAATTAGTAGACGAGCGAATCCCGGTGGACGCCATATATACTGATTTCAGTAAAGCGTTCGACAAAGTAGATCATCAAATCCTTTTAAACAAATTGTCGCTTTCAGGCATTGATGGGTCATTGCTTAAATGGGTTAAGTCGTACTTATCTTATCGGCCTTCTAAGGTAGTAGTAAACGGTTTTAGTTCAAATTCTCTTGTAGCTCTGTCTGGGGTTCCCCAAGGATCTCACTTGGGTCCCCTATTTTTCAACATATTTATTAATGACGTGATTAATTGTTTTAAAAACTCGAGTGTATATCTTTTCGCTGATGACTTAAAAATATTAAAACCAATTAAGTGTGCCAGGGATTTGGAACTACTACAAGAAGATATCAATAATTTGTGTAATTGGTGTACATCCAATAAAATGATATTAAATGTAGCTAAATGTCATCACATACGCTTTTCACGCAACAAGTTCGATAACTTACATAAATACAATATGGCTGGACAAGATTTAGAGACGGTGGACGAGATTCGGGACTTGGGGGTTTTAGTAGATAGTAATTTGCGGTTTGACTCACATATCAAAAAAACTGTAAATAAGGGTTTTAGGATGATGGGTTTCGTACTGCGCAATGCTAAGGAGTTCAAGAAGTCTTCATCGAAAATAAAACTCTTTCAAGCATTAGTATTACCTGGACTGGAATTTAACAGTGTCATTTGGACTCCACATTACGAGGTGTATATTAAACGTTTGGAAAGTGTTCAAAAGCGCTTTTTATATCACTTGGCATTTGGCGATTTAGAAGCGGAGAGACTTCCAGGGTACTCACAAAGACTCGAGCATTACAAGTTAACTTCTCTGATCAACCGCAGAAAGAGACTTGATTTAATCTTCCTGCACAAAATTGTTAACGGTTCATTAGACTGCCCTGAGTTATTGAATATGCTCCAATTCAATACGCCTTGCAGGTTACCCAGGAAAAGCGCTTATAACTTTTTTGCCGTAGTAGGTTCAAAAACGAACCTCGGTCATTTCGCTCTTTTGCCGAGGCTCTGCAGGACGTATAACTCGCTTTCCAAATTACATGATTTGGACATTGGTCTTGGGTTAAACAATTACAAGAGAAGGTTGTGTGATATTTTAAATACATAAATGATGTTTCGATTAATTTTTTATTGTAAATTTGTATTTATATTTTTGAATTTATATTTTTAATTCTAATTTTAATTTTGAAATTTAATTTTATTTGTAACTTTAAATCAATTACTGTATATCATATCATAGGTAGAAGGATTAACTATATGCTCGACAGTTTCAAAAAACAACAATTTATTTTTTTTGTATGCATGCTGTGATGTTCCTTAACTATAGAAGCACTTAGTTTTAAGCGAATATGTTCAAATTTAATGTATAGTGTATTGCTATGTGGAATATCCTGAATAAATAAATAAATAAATAAATAAATAAATAAATAAATGACACTTGCAGGGTTGTCAGTTTTTATAAAATTTTAAATAGTCATTCTCGATAACTTCATCGATAGATTGTGAAAGAACTTGATAGATAAAATTTTGGCAAAAGTTACTGAATTGTGAATGTTATGACGTAATAATGTCTACTAATTGCGTTATTGCCATCTTTATTCTTATTTTGGCAGTTGGCCCACTACATAGAACAGAAATAAATTTTTATTCATATACATTGTACAAGAATAAGCAGATTTGATTATCTAAATTGAATTAAAATGAAGAACTTTAAAACACGTCTCCTCTTTGTATTTTTCATAGACATCATTGTAAATACAGTGTATGTATGTATAGATTTACAAATATTTACACTTGAAATGAATCTGTTCTCAGTATTTGGACGAACGATAGGTCAAGGACTATTTTTTTGGCTATTTGTTATATACGCGTGATCAATATTCAGTTGATAGTCGATACAATTTTCATCGACTGCAATCACTAGCAGCTTGCAAGCGGGTAACACTTATGCGCAATAAACTGTAATTTTACACCGTCTTCAAAAGAGGTTAAGTATAGGCAGAACACATTTATGGTTTATTTATACAATTACCGCGTGACAATTCTTATTCAAACTTATTTATTATCTATAATTTTAATAAAATATTAGTATTGAATTATTGTATAATATTTTATCAAAATTATAGAAAATAAATAAGTTTGGATAAGAACTGTTACGAGGTAATTGTATAAATAAACCATAAATGTAGATAGTATATTAACCGCTCACGCGATACATGCAGCCGTAGACGCATACAACACCTAGAGGTGCCAGTGATGATGTTATACCGATTTATCGGCTATCGAAGTTATAACAGGTAAAAGAACTAATATTAATTGTTATTTCGGTAATTACTCTAGCAAACCATAAAGTTTTTAATGCCTGGGTCTGTCATTTAAAAAAAATAAACAACTTCAAAAATACGTCACGACAATCGTGTGTGTTATTGTTTGCACTGGTGATTTCGGTGTTTATTTATTGAAAACATACCGTAAGTAGCGTTTTTTAAGTTTACACTGAATATAAATGTTTATAAACTATACTTTAAGGAGTAATTTCATGGTAAACGTTAGAACCACTCAAACGGAATATTATCATATTTATCCAAGTACACCAAAAATTTCATTAGTGCTTTTGAAGTGCAGGATTTGCGGTGTATTACTGCATTTTATTTGAGATGTTTTTGTTGGTCGTACGGAGGGTATTTATTTAGCAATGCAGAATAATAATTTTTATTTATAAAAACTGTATTTAAACTGAATGCTTTTCTAAAACCAAATTGCCGCCATTTTGCGGTAGGAAGAGCGCATCGCGTGAGCGGTTTATAAGTTATTACAATACTGTGTACAAAACGAAATTAGACAATAATAAATAAGAAGTATAAAGTGCGTTGTTGTCGTTGGGACTAAATTTGTATTTTGTTATTTTCCCGTTTTTCAGCGTACATACATTTGCATAAACAACCACAAATTACAACCTAACTCACGAGAGCAATAAATGTAGGCCATACAAATATTTCTCCTGGCCCGGGAATCATACCCGGGACCTTTACGTGGCAGTTCAGTATGGTAACCGTTCAGCTACGGAGGCAGTTAATACTAATAAATGAAAACCAAGTAAACTACTCCACTAGTTTGTTATAATTATTAATACAAAGATCGAATATAAATTTTCCTGTCTATGTAATTTTTTATCTATCTGCTTTATTATATTACATTACACTTAAATACATTACACTATATTAAATTACATTACATTACATTAATGAAATGAATATCGTTAACGCAAATGACTTTCTTATTCAGACAAGTAGTCCGGACAGCTTTGCGTATTTCCTTTGAAACCGGAAAAGTTATCCAGTTTGGTTCCTCAAAAGATCAATTTAAAATGTTAATTTTCTCCAACTTGTGACGTACCGTTGCGAGCCGATCCGATATCGAATTCAAAGTCTGTTTAATTAAATCGAGAGATTTAAAATCAAAGTAATGATGCAAAACTTTCCTTTATAATGGCGTCGATTTGAGAGCAAACTGAACTTAATCTTTTACGTTGTTAGTAAGAAAAGGACAAATAAAATCGTTTTAGTTTTGAGCTGTTATATTAGTGAACGCCTTTGGACTGTAACATCATCTATCATCATCGACAGTTCACCATTTATTATGAATGACTAGATGAAATATTCTTTACTGCACATTAAAATTACAATAACAACACATGTTCAACGGGCAGCCGTATTGCTAAGTAGCAATTTCTTCCAGGCAATTTTGGGATAGAAATTTAAAAGTTCAAATGGGGGAGCGTTCAAGAGACGTCTTGTATTAAAAGTGTTTTAATTAATAAATACACTACTCATCAATAAAGTAAATATCGCACAGCTATTACAATAGTGTTGTAACTCAAATATGTGAAATATGTGAAATTCAAGATTCGATTCAAATCCCGAAAAATGGTTTCAATTCCTAGCTGAATAAAGTGTTCATCAAATATAGCTAAGAAACATTACGATTAGATTGGCTTTCAAATCAGTCCATCCGTTTGGGAGCCGCGATGCCACACGCTGACAGACAAACACATAAAGGCATCAAACTTATAACACCTCTCTTTTTGCGTCGTAGGTTAAACGTATCTTAAAAGACACCAAAAACAAATATCTTTGAAATTGGAAAGATTACAAATACATTTAGTGTTGTAGCTGTCTGCGGTCCTCTACAACAATAACTGGTAAATAACAAAATCTAAGAGCAGGCACACATGGCGACTTTTAGCAGCGATACAAACGTACCTTTATGAAACACGCCCAAAGGGTTGTAACCCAAACTAACCGTGAACAGGTCCACAAAATTTATTAAAGAAGTAAAGTTTAAAGAAAGGGCTGTAACAATAAAAAGGTAAATGTAAAAAAACAGGTACAACAGTATAAAACACTCCCTACACTTTATCATTAAGGCACTTACCCCTAAATGGGCCGAGTAACTGAATTACAGATATACAGATGTACATGAAGGCTGTAGACTTATAAATTATTACACATGATTTAGCTTATTAAATGATTACAAACGTAGTAAAGAACCAGAATTAGCGATTATTCGCGATGGAATTTGAAATAGCTCCGACTGTTGTGGCGGTCGAGCTGGGAGTGACCGTGGTATGAAAACAAAATGAGAAAGTGAAGGAAGATGGAATAATTCAAATTTAAAATTTAAATACATGTAAAATAAAAAATGATAGGATACAAGCGGAGAGAGGCAATACAAAGAGATGATGGTGTAAGAAGGTCACACCGTCACAACGCGATTGCATCGCAACACCTGCGATTTATAGGCGGTTGCAGCGATGCAAACGCGCGAATCCATCGACGCAGCCGGTTATGTCGAATCATTAAAAACATGCATCGCGATTGCATTGCGTTCGTATCGCGATTGTATCGCTGCTTTTCGTATCGCGATTAATCTAACTTACCAAGATACTTGTGGGCTCACGCCGTATTAACAGCTCCATTTTTGATTATCGTTGCCCATCTAGAGCAATTGATTTTGAAACTCCTGGTGTAATATTTGAAAAAGATGTGATGCTTCACAAACTGAGACCATTTGGGTGCAAAGGATGGATGATTATTCTGCCAAGAAGGGACAAGTTAGATCCAAGAGCACTAGAAGTGAGATTACTCGGTTATGCGAGAAATGGATATAAGGTTTGGAATCCGTTGACAGACAATATAATAATAACGAAAGACACAAGATTCGACGAAAATGACTACAGATATGAAAATAAAAATGAAAAATAAGAAAATGAATACTATAACTATGAAGATACAGAAGAAACGGAAACAACAAAAAAAGATGAAACTCCGAAACAAAAAGATGAAACTCTGAAACAAAAAGATGAAACTCTGAAACGAAAGGATGAAACCATACAACATGAAGATGAAGAGAACACAATACACGTACGGACAAGAGAAAACAATACAAACCAACAACGCATAACAACCAAAACCAGAGGTGGCAGAATGTTTACCAACCCTAAACATCTAACTGAATATGAGCTTAATGAGGCTTACTGTTTAGTAAGTAATGAGGAGGATCCCCAGGAATACACAAAAGCAATAAAAAAAACTGACTGAGTAAAGGCAATCGAAACAGAAATTAAAGCACTAAAAAGAATGAACACCTGGACAGAGGCAGAATTACCAGACAACTTAAAAGCCATAGATGCGAAATGGGTGTTCAAAACAAAAGATAATGGACTTAAAAAGGCGAGACTAATTAGATAGTCAATACTTAGACAGACCTACCAAGAGTTTATTGATACAAGGCAAAAGAGTTTTACGATATGTTAAAGGTACACAAGACACTGGACTATACTACAAGAAATCGGAGGAGGCAACAATAGAAACCTACTCGTATGCAGATTGGGCTGGATGCCATTCAGACCGTAAAAGTGTATCAGGATCAGTGACACTATATAACAGATTTGTAGTTTGCTGACATTTTCACAAAAACTATATCTAATGAAAAATTTCTGATATGAAAATTAATTTGAATGTTAAATGATATATTTTGTTGTTTAAACTGCACTCTAAACTTATTCTCATTTGCATGACTGTCTTCGTATTTGGATTGTTACAGTAA